AGCTCCCGGACCACGGGCGCCCCGCAGGCCGCTGCGTCCCGCATCCCGGCCCTCGCTGCGCCTCTCCCTGCCGCCCTTGTCTCTTACATCTGGGTTTCTGGGGTGATCATGGACGCTGGAGAGGGCAGCTTTTCTGTAGGGCACTGGCGGTATCGGTGTTGGTGAGGACCCTCCCCCCATCCCTCCTCCCCCTCCCTCTCCCTTCCCTCCTCCCTCCTCTCTCCCTCCTTTCCTCCTCTCTTCCTCCTCCTTCCTCCCTCCCTCCCTTCCCTGCACTGGACTTGAACTCAGAGCCCTGCACTCCTGCTTACCACTGGGCTTGGTTGGAGATGAGTCTTGAAGACTTTCTTGCCCAACTTTGAACCTTTTCTGCCCAGGCTGGCTTTGAACCTCGATCCTCCAAGTCCTGCATAGCTAGGGTTACAAACATAGACCATGAGCTGGGAAGGTGGCTCAGTGGTAGAGTGCTCGCCTCACATGCATGAGGCCCTGGGTTCGATTCCTGCACCACATTAGCAGAAAAAGCCAGAAGTGGTGGTGTGGCTCAAGGGGTAGAGCGCCAGACTTGAGCTGAAGAGCTGAGGGGCAGTGCCCAGGCCCAGAGTTCAAGGCCCACAACATGGGTCTCAATATAAATCACTGGCACCTGGCTGGCTCCATTCTTGGCTTTTTTTTTTCTTTCACATTCTTTCTCTTTTCTCTTTGCCAGTCATGGGGCTTGAACTCATGGCCTCAGGGCCTGGGTGCTGTCCCTGAGCTTTTGGCTCAAGGCAAGTTCTCTACCAACCACTTGAGTCCCAGCACAACTTCAGGTTTTCTGGTGGTTCCTTGGAGATAAGTCTCATGGGTTTCCTTGCCCGGGCTGGCTTTGAACCTCGATCCTCAGATCCCAGCCTCCTGAGTCGCTGGGATGACAGCCGGGAGCCACCAGCCCCGGCTTCTGACTTTCTTTTTTTACAATTCTTTTTAAAAGTGTAAAAACCCTTCTGACCTCAGCAGCTCTAAACAGGCTTTGGCTGGATTTGGTGAAGGAACTGTGTCTGCTGCCCCCTGGTGTCGAGAACTAAGGGTGGAGAGGTTTGGAAGATTGGAGGGCCTGGCTCTGAGCCAGCTGGCATGCCCCTGAGCGTCTGCTCCAGGGCTTTGTCCGGCCCCCTCCTGAGACTGTACTTGTAAAGGGATGGCCTGCCCCAGTGCTGAGCTGCTTAAACAGCGCCCGAGGCCTCAGCCTTGAGCCATCTTTGGGCCCTCTCATCTCTGCCCCGCTCTCTGTCACTCCCAGAGGCCTCCGTGTCCAAGAAGAAACGAATGTGCATGAAGCTGATGCCTCTGGGGGCTGCAGATGTGGCTGTGTTTGATGTACGGCTGAGTGGGAAGACTAAGACTGTGCCCGGATACCTGCGAGTTGGGTAGGCTTGGCCAGGTCGGCCTCCCTCCCGGCCCCTGTCCGGTCCGGTCCTGTCCTGTCTGGGCTGGGCCGCCTCCCTCACGACTCCTGTCCTGACCCGTCGGGCCTGGGCCTCCCTCCAGCCTCCTGTCTCTGCCACCTGGGTGTGCCTGTTCTCTGCGCCAGTTCAGGGACAGCTGTATGTCTTGTGGGTCACCAAGGACCAGGGAGGGGTGTGTAGCAGGGATGCTGACCACACCCAGCACTGTTAGTTGAGGGTCAGTGGCAGAACAGAAATCTCATCCACACGGGGTTCATGTGGAGGCCCAGATCCCCAGCAGCTCCCAGCGGCTCCCCAGCCCGGCTGTAGCTTGGGTCAGAATTGCGTTTCTCCTGCTCCAGGGACATGGGTGGCTTTGCCATCTGGTGCAAGAAGGCCAAGGCACCACGGCCGGTGCCCAAGCCCCGAGCGCTCAGCCGTGACATGCGGGGCCTCTCGCTGGACCCCGCCGGCCAGCCCAGGTGAGTCCTTGGGCCCCTGGGGGGGGGGTCGGGGCTGGCCGGGCCTCACAGGGTCATCGTCCCCCCAGCAAAAACAGCTTGCCAGAGCGCACCCTGTCCCGGGCCTCCACGCTTCGCAGGAGCGACTCCATCTACCAGGCATCCAGCCTCTACGGGATCTCCGGTGAGCGCCGTGGGGAAGGTGGGGTGCAGGCCTGTCCTCCACCTGTGCCAGCCCCAAGGCTGTAAGGCTTTCCTGAGGTGCTGCAGGTGGAATGGGGGGGTCCAGTGCGCACCGGCACAGGCTGCTCAGGATTGGGACGGGGGAGGGGGTCTCAACGGCCCTCAGCTCTTTCCCTGACATGATCTCTTCCAGCCATGGATGGGGTTCCTTTCACGCTGCACCCACGTTTTGAGGGCAAGGGCTGTGGCCCCCTGGTGAGTTGGGGTCCTGGGGAGTCGGGCCTGCTCACCTTCTGGTGCCACGCTGCCCGGGGCCCCTCAAGGAGGCTCTAGTTCCAGAATGGGGGCAGGAGAGCCCTAGTTCTCGTGCTGGGCCGCAGCTTCTGGGGCAGTGGTGGAGAGCCCCAGGCGTGCAGGGGTGTGTGAAGATGGAGGGTGCTGGTCCGGCCGTGCCTGTCACCCTGACCTCAGGAGTCAGAGGGAAGGGCCCTGAGCTCAGGCCACACAGACTTTGTCCCAAGTTAGACAGAAAAACGGGGGAGGGAATGGGTCCCCAGGGGGGCTTGGGGAGACTCACCAGTCACCCGCCCGCCCGCCGCCAGGCCTGCTCTGCCTTCGGGGACCTGACCATCAAGTCGCTGGCAGACATCGAGGAGGAGGTGGGTCTCGGGGGTGGGGGGGGAGGCTCCCATTATCCCGCAGGCCTGGCCTCCACGCCCAGCCCCCTTCCCTTACTGTGTCTCCCCAGTACAACTATGGCTTTGTGGTGGAGAAGACAGCTGCTGCCCGGCTGCCTCCCAGCGTCTCCTAGCGACCGAAGCCAGGCCAGCGCCACCACCCGGCCCGTGCCCACGGCTATGGGGAAGCTCCACCCCCCACCCAGCCCTGGGGCCACAGGCCTGGGGCGGGGTCAGCCGGATCCCACCCGTGCCTTCAGCCACAGCCACGGCGCCCGCAGCTCTGGGAATAAACACTACCTGTCCTGCTGAGTGGTTGGTCCTTCCCAAACAAGTGGGGGAGCGCTGGGAAGCCAAGGACGGGGTGGAGGGAGCTGGACCCGCAGTGCCCCCCACGCAGCCGGAGCCACCATTGCTGTCAAGCTGACCGTGGCATCCCAGTCTGCATCTGGGAGCCAGGGAGACAGAGGCAGGCATGGCAGCAGTCCCTCCGCCACACTGCCTGTCAGGACTGGCAGCTCAGCCGCAGCTGCAGGCTGCGCGGGCGGAGCAGCCGTCCACCACCCAGGCCGTCCACCACCCAGGCCATCCACCACCCAGGCCGTCCACCACCCAGGCTGTCCACCACCCAGGCCGTCCACCACCCAGGCCTCTTGGGCGGAGCAGCTGTCCACACCCAGGGCTGGGGACAGGACCCGCGGTCTGCAGGCTGTGGCCGGCCGGCCAGAAGCCCCCCTCACTGCCTACTGGCCGGATCGGGCACTGGGTTCACGGGCGGCACTGTGTCCAAGCAGGAGTCAGTGCTGGCTTGGGAAAGAGGGTGGAAAGCGGGGCGCAGAGCTGCCCAGAGGGCACACACAACCCCCTCAGGGGACACAGAATCCTTCTGATTTGTGTTCAAGACTTGAGAGTCGGCCGCTGGCCGCTCACGCCTGTCATCCCAGCTACTCAGGAGGCTGAGATCTAAGGATCACAGTTCAGAGCCAGCCCAGGCAGGAAAGTCCATGAGACTCTTATCTCCAATAAACCACCAGAAAACCAGAAGTGGCATTGTGGCTCAAGTGGTAGAGCACTCGCCTTGAGCTGAAGAGCTGAGGGACAGCTCCCAGGACCTGAGTTCAAGCCCCAGGACCGACAAAAAAGACTTGAGAGCAGGGTTTCACCCCGAACGGGAGAGTCAGTGGTGTTTTCAGTGTAGCATGGGGGGGTGAGCCCTGGGAGCAAGGCGGAGAGACCCCATCCTTGCTGCCTGGGGCTACGGTTGAAGATAGGCCCCGGGGCAGCCCTGGGGGACAGGCAGGGCTGAGCTGGACTTGGCACAGGTGAGAGCTACCCAGGCCCAGCTTTGTTCTTGGGGAGACTGCGGTGCAAGCTATGCTGGGTGGCGTCGCTGCGGGGGTGTCGGGTGGAGCCAGCCAGCCACCTTGGCCGGTTGTGGCCTCGGTAGCTGGGTGCCTGCCTGTACTGGGGCCTCGTCCCCGCACCCCCGCGCAATCCGATCCAGCTGGGAAGCAAGGGCCGTTTGTTCTGCCTGAACCCCCTCCAACTCCCCGAGACCGTCCCGATCACCCCAGGCTGTCAGCGTGGGCCAGGGCCTCTTGGTGACCGGTGCTAGCTTGAGTCCCCCGGGCCTCCCAGCCTGCAGCCCTCTGCAGGGCCGGTGCAGCCCCACTGAGGGTGAGGCCCTGCCCCTCAGCTCCGGTCCTACACGCCAATCACCTGCCAGCCGCCTGTGGCACCGCCCCCACGGGTTACCACAGTGCTCCTCTCCACCACTCCCACACACGGAGCCCGTGTGGATGGCTGAATGGCGTGAGGGCTGGAATTCTCTCCACAGCCTCCAGCCCCAGCTAGTGGGTGGCTCAGGTGAGGCCGGCGGTGTAAGGTGTCCAGGCCTGGCCTGGACGCTAATTCTGGCTTGTGGAGCTTTGTTGTTAGGCAAGGCTGTGCTCCGCCAGGCTGGAGGCCAAAGACAGAAGCCAGGTGTGGTCCCGTGACTCCGGGGGCTCTGCCCGGCTCCCTGGAGTCTGCACAGGGGCTGCCACACCTGGATTGGGTGTCGGAGCCCGGGCCAAGTGCCCAGCTCCAGCCCCAGCAGGCCTCAGCCAAGGTCAGCAAGTGCTGGCGGCTGCACCCCTCCTGGGCCTCGGACCCCAGCCCTCCCCTGCGCCCGCGGACCCCAGCCCTCCCCTGCGCCCGCGGACCCCAGCCCTCCCCTGCGCCCGCGGACCCCAGCCCTCCCCTGCGCCCGCGGACCCCAGCCCTCCCCTGCACCTGCGCCCGCGCACCCCAGCCCTCCCCTGCACCCGCGGACCCCAGCCCTCCCCTGCACCTGCGCCCGCGGACCCCAGCCCTCCCCTGCGCCCGCGCACCCCAGCCCTCCCCTGCACCTGCGGACCCCAGCCCTCCCCTGTGCCCGCGGACCCCAGCCCTCCCCTGCACCTGCGGACCCCAGCCCTCCCCTGCACCTGCGGACCCCAGCCCTCCCCTGTGCCCGCGGACCCCAGCCCTCCCCTGCACCTGCGGACCCCAGCCCTCCCCTGCGCCCGCGGACCCCAGCCCTCCCCTGTGCCTGTGGACCCCAGCCCTCCCATGCACCTGCGCCCGCGGACCCCAGCCCTCCCTTGCGCCTGTGGACCCCAGCCCTCCCCTGCACCCGCGGACCCTCGGCTCTGGCCACTAAGTGTCTCGTGAATGGCCCCATTCCTTGGGCCTCAGCTTACTAAAGCCAATTAGGGGCTTTCAGTACTGAGCCTGAGCTTGTGACCCCAGGCCCATACTGTCAGGGGCCCAGAGCTGATGGGTGAGGAAGCAGACCACCTCCAGCCACCTTCGAGGTGCAGACATGAGCTGTATGCTTATGCAGACACAGAACTGCGGCCAGGGAGCCGGGCACAGACCCATTCAACAGCCTGGTCAAGATGGCCCCGCGGGAAGGTTCCAGAAAGACGGTGCTGGGCGCGGTTCATCCCTGCCTTGTCCACACAGGCTGGGGCAGGCGCCGGGCTGCAGGGTGCACGCCCTCCCCATCCCCCTGTGCAGCGTCCAGAGGCCTGGGAGGCGGCAGCCGAGCACTGGCCAAGGGCTGCCCAGCCTCCTCTGCCTGCAGCTGACCTTCCTCTGCTGCCCCTGAGTCCCGGGCACCCCGCGTGGCCCCAGGGACAGGCCGAGGGACCTCTGGGGACCTCTCTCCGTTTGGGGTGCAGGTGGAACCAAACCTGAGCACCCCAGGAAATTCACGTGTGATGATCAGCAGGACTTGGGGGGGGCCACAAGAGTCACGTGCCGGGAGACACCGGCTCCTGGCGTCCACCTGTCTGTGTGGCACATGGGAGCGTGGGCTGGGACCGGATTTCTGTGGTGTGAGCTGGAAGGGGCCAGTTCAGTCCCCAGGCCGCGGTAGGCATCAGAACGTCCAAGACTGAGCCTCTGTCAGCAGCGTGGGCTTTCGGGGGAGGGAGGGAACTCCAGGTGTGAGCCCCACCTCGAGCTCAGAACCGGGACCCCTGCCGCGCCCCTGCCCCTCCTGGAGCCTCCGATTCCTCATCTGCCTGCGAAACAGAGACATTAGAGGATTAACACCCCAGCCAGGCCTCCTCCCTCCTCCCTCCTCCCCGGCACCAAGGGTGGGGAAGGGAAGGGAAGGCTGGGGCCCTGGCAGCTTGCCATACGGCCTCCCTGCCACAGCCCAGGCCCAGGTGGATGCCTGGACTGCAGGAAGGTGGGTGGGAGGACCAGGGGTGAGTACCTTGCTGGGGCTGAGCCCCGGGGACCCCAGCGGTGCGGGCTGGGTGGTCTTCTGAGCATGGTGGGGACGGCTCATGGGGACCCCGGCGGGCAGCCCGGGCGGCCCGGAGCAGGACGTAGGTCAGCACCGCCACCAGGACCAGGGCCCCTGAGCCCAGAACGGATGCTGCTGCAGCTCCTGTCTCGATCTCAAAAAGCAGCAAGGCGTAGAGGGAGAGCGCTGGGGGAGCGATGGGTATGCAGTCACTGGTGAGAACAGCGAGCGTCAGCAGGGAGCCCGGATCCCAGAGCGAGGCAGCCCGCCCCGCGGGGTCGCTCCACCGCCCAGCCCTGAGCCCTGACCAGTCCCCGCACACACCTGCCAAGTAGACAGACAGGCCACAGCAGAGCAGGCCCAGGGCCACGTGCCTCACTGTGCGGCAGTCGTAGAAAAACCATTCAGACCTGGGGCACAGGAACACAGGAGAAAAAGGGGCTCAGGAGAGCCGGGCGCTGCTGGCTCGCGCTGTCACCCCAGCTACTCAGGAGGCTGAGATCTGAGCATTGCGGTTCAAAGCCAGCCCGGGCAGGAAAGTCCGTGAGACTCGTCTCCAGTGAACCACCAGAAAACCAGAAGTGGCACTGTGGTTCAAGTGGTAGAGCACCAGCCTTGAGCTGAAGAACTGAGGGACAGCGTCCAGGCCCAGAGTTCAAGACCCACGACCAACCAAAACAAACCAAAACCAAAAAGGACTCAAAAGGGGCTGGGAAGGTGGCTCAGTGGTAGAGCGCTTGCCTTGCATGCATGAGGCCCTAGGTTTGATTCCTCAGCACCACATAAGCAGAAAAAAGCTGGAAGTGGTGCCATGGCTCAAGTGGTAGAGCACTCGCCTTGAGCTGAAGAGCTGAGGGACAGCGCCCAGGCCCAGAGGTTAGGCCCCACAACTGACCAAAAAAAAAAAAAAGGGCTCAGAAGATGATGGTGGAAAGGCTACCAAGATGAAAGGTGTATGATACCACCTTGTCTCTACTAACCTTCTCATCCACCTATACGCACTCACCCATCCATTCACCCATCCACAAATCCATCCACCCACCTATCCACCCATCCATCCATCCATCCACCTATCCATCCATCCATCCATCCACCACCCACCCATCCATCCATCGACCCATCCACAAATCCACCCACCCACCCATCCATCCACCCATCCATCCACCCATCCATCCAGGCACCACCCATGCACCCATCCATCCATCCATCCATTCACCTGTCAGCCCTGCCCATTGTTCATCCACCCACCCCATCCACCTGTTTGCCATCCATTGCTCCTTCCTTTAGCCCATGTCCCACATCAGTCCCCGCAAACATCTGGAGGCCACTACAAGCACAGGTGTTTACTGGGTGCTGCATTCCATCCTACAGCATGCCTGTTGCAAGGGCCTGAGCTTGTGCTCTGGAGGCCGGGATGTGCTTCCATCCTGCCCACCCTCCACCCATAAAAACTGGTGTCCTCGAGACCATCTCTCTGCCCGCCTCTATTTTGGCTGTGGCCAGAGGGAAACATTCCAACTTGAGTCCTCGCTCCTTCCTGCTCTTTCTGTCATGGGCACTGGGCCGGGGTCCAGCACACGGTTCCAGCCCCCTCCCCATGGGCTTGTGCCCCAGGGACCTTGCACGTGCCCAGGAACAGTCCCACAGATCTTCTGACTGTTTTTCATCCTCAAGTCCCGGCAGAGCTCCCCCTTACTCTTCCCTCTGCCCCCTCACCCCAATCTCCTTTCCCAGTGCCCATCCCCCTCTGAAATCGTGTTTTTGCCATTGTGGGTGCTGTGGTTTGTTTTGTTTTGTTTTTGGTCGGTCGTGGGGCTTGAACTCTAGGTCTGGGCACTATCCCTGAGCTCAAGGCCAGCTCTTTACCACGTGAGCCACAGCGCACTTCCTTGGGTGCTGCAGTTTGAATGCCGGCCTCTCAAGCGCCCTCAGCTTCCAGCTGGGCGGGTGCTCTTCGGCCTGGACCACTCCTCCTGCTCTGCTTTGTTCTGGAAATGGAGTCAGCTGGACTTTTCTGCCTGGGCCGATCTCAAGCTCAGCTCCTCCTGCTCTCACCCCCTCCAGGAGCTAAGATTCCAGGCCTGAGCCCCAGCCCGGCCGGCTCTGGGGTCTGCTGACCCTCAATGAGGAGACGCATGTCTGGTCTGCTCCATCGCAGCCCGCGGCCCTGTCCAGTGTCCGGTCCCCCCTGCCCCCCCCGTACCCCCATCCTGTCCCGCCCCCATCCGCTGTCCCTGTCCTGTCCGGTCCCTGTTCCCGGTCCCCGACCCTGGTCCCCTGGTCGGCCAGCCCAGCCCCTGAGGACGCCGAGCTCTGGTTGGGAGAGAGGAACCGGCGAACTTCCAGACCCCGCGGGAAGATGGCGCCTACTCGGCTCGGATGAGCCCGCCGGCCCCGCGGAGCCCCAGGGCGAGGCCGAGCACGGAGGGCCCTCGGCCCAGGCCGCACCC